TCTTAATGGATTAGGTTACTCAAATAATAGTGATCAAATGTCTTAAAAGAAACCCATTTGCTTTTTAATTGATGATACTCTTTTTAAATATTTTTGTTCCCAAAGTTACATTAAGAAGCATAAATATTGATACTCACCTCCATATACCACATATACAGTAGTGTCTCTGCTCATGCTTTATGTAACGTGGTTGATTTTTTTCAAGTATCTTCAAAGGACCATTTCAGAATTTACCAAACAAGTTGAGATGTACTTCTGTCTGAATTATTCCTTGATTATGTGGGCTTGTGACTTCTTGAATGCTACATTTCTACCTAATTTAATATTTTTAATGTTTTCCATAGTAAAATGAAGTGAACTACAGAAGAATAACATCCCAAAAAATGGTTGATGTGATTTACGAGATTTTGAGGACTTGTTATACAATATTTTCCAGATTGTATATTAAACCTCATATTCGAAGCACTCAGTGGAGGCAGTGGTGAATTCAGGATATTGAGTCAGCACGGACGGGCATTGATCGTCAACTGTGGATCGTAGACCGCAATAAAATATTAAGACCTCATTTGATATTATTTTTTTGCAAAAAATGCATTTTGGAATAGTGATTTGATGGAAAATGTGTAGTTAAAAATAAGAAAAAATTTTGAATTTGCGTGTAATTATTATTTTGTTAAAGAATGTTTGATCGAAAATAAAAGAAAAAAATGTATTTTGAACTAAATGGAAATCAAACAAGGCTTAAAATTTAAATAAAATAATTATTTTGTTGAAGTTAAACATATATAATTCTGTTATAAGAATAAATCGTACTCACCAAATGATATTGTTGCTTTGTATAATTCAAAGGAAGAGCATGTTGTTTGAATTTTTACAATTGCTTTAAACCCGGTAAAATCTAACATATATTGTTTTGTTAATTTTAACATCATAACTCAATTAGTGTCATAATGGTCAAGCTATCAATACTTTTAAAAGGAGCACGCAGGTTCGATTCCCTTTACGCTCTCCTTATCACACTAATTTTTGGTTAAAATTGTATAACTAAAAAAATTATACAATAAATTGTTTGGTACAAGTTTCGAACCCGCGACATCCAAAAAAGGCATGCAAGTGCTTACCAACTTGGCTAGAAGGAAAGGGTGAAGTAAGGTTAGATTACAAGTAATATATCCTAAACATTTGTCTATTCTGAACAAAAAGGAAAAAAAAATTTCGCTCCCGGCGGATCCAGCACGCACGCACGCACGGCCGCGGGGCTCGCTAAGTGCTGGTTCCGCCAATGAGTGGAGGCCACGTGACGACACTACATGCAAACATTTGGCAGTTGACATGGTCAAATAAAGAAAGGGAACAAACTGCTCTTTGGTCGAGGGACTATGTCCATCTGAAGTCTCTTATCGAAGCACTCTCTCTTTTGGTCAAACCTCTACTTGTCCAATGCTCTCTCGTTAAGTCGAAGTGCTTGCGGCCTTTAAAACAGATCTAAAGAGTATCTTGCCCTTGTTGGAGCCACATTATTTTTCTTAGAATGCATTTTTGAATAATGTATTGATGGAAAATGTGTGATTAAAAAATAAAGAAAAGTTTTGAATTTGTGTGTAATATTATTTTATTGAAAAATGTGTGATTGAAATGATGTCAAATTACTGTTTAAGAATGTATTTTTTTGAAAAAATGTGACTCAAACATGCCTTATATGAATGATTGATGTAATCTTTATATTAACAAGTATTAGAAATGTTAGCCTAGAGTGTAGGGTGAGTGACTCATTATCAATGCATTCAATGTATGTCAGAGTGATGTGAGACTTCATCTAATGAGATGGAGCCACGTGATTTTGATCCAACGGCCATCATGTTAACTAGAACACTATAAATAGCAGCTCTTTGCAACATTTAAAGGGATAGAAAAACTAAACACATATAAAATCACGAGTCCACTACTTTACATGCTAAAGCTTTGTAATTCCTTATATTTTTCGATGAAATTGTCTATGATGGATTATTTCATTTGCAATCAATCTTGATCTCAAACTTTTTTTCTCATGTCATAGAGTATCTCTCATGTCCATTATTGCCGTGAGTCTTTGAACATATCTCCGGTTAAAATGTGCCTAAATTTGCTTGCATGGACATAAGTGAGTCCAACATCTGTTGTCCACGTTGCCATTGCAAAAAATGGGGTCAATAGATTTGCATGTTATATCTATAAATTACGTGGCATGCTCAGACGAAAGGAGTCTAATATATGCTAACGTGGTATTGACTATTCAACGATATTTGATTTATTAAATTAAGCAACCTCGGCAACCTCGTATGTGGCTTGAACTGAGCCCATCTCGCTATACATACTCGGCTCATTTTCATTTCTCTATATATATTTGGGTTCATTTCATGCTTATGGTATGTTCTCGAACCTTAGTCAAATCCCCTCTTCCTCTCTTGCACTCATATTTCTCTTGTCCGGGCATTGACTTGACCATCGGAGTGCAAACGATTGTCGGACCTTTTTTTTCTACCGACAGCCTTTGCCTTCTAACGGAATGTTCAGCATGCACATGATGTCTACGTGAAGGGAACGAGGTCGGGATTCTGTTGGCACATTTTTTGGATCAATGGTGTGTACATGCATCTATCTGTATGTTGGATACAAGAAGTTTACCCTTATGAAATGTGCTAAAATATGTACACTTAAGGGAATATGCAGCTAAATCATTCTTTTGAGGTTGCTATAACCTCTAAACTGTTGTGATTATCTCACTTAATTTTTGCGTTCTCAAAAGAAAAAAATTCGGTATTTGTAGAACTAACAATCACAAGCCTTCCTAATAAGACGTGCAGGAGGCTGTTATTTCTCCCCACTCGTATATTTTTCCATCAATGCATTGAATGTTTGATTCTGCTAATCGTTATTTTGTTTGCGTCTCTCCCTTTTGTGTGTGTGTGTGTGTGTGTGTGTGTGTGTGTGTGTTATGGCTGTTAGAAGAATCAGGGAGGGATAGTCAGGACAGGGAGAAAGATGGGAAGTTCATCCTTCACTTCCTAACAGACCCTTAGCCGATGTGATTTAAGACTTTCTGATTCAATTGCAGCTCGCTCTTAGCCTTTTATGGTTGATCTTCTTCTCACATATTTTAGTTGAATTGATTACGTGTTTGTTTTCCAATATTTCTTTTGTTCTTCGAGCATAATTCAGTCTCCGTTCAGGCTTCAAAGTGTCCATGGTGAATAGCCTGCTTGCTTTTGTATTGCAATCTTTGCATATAAGCTTTTAAATGATACTAGTTTTCTGACTTTATACCAATTTCATTGAGCTGAAATCACTATCCTAATTCCTGAGAAACTAGATGCCCTTGAGGAGTGTGTTTTCTTTGAGCTCCTTCATAGCCGTGGCCATTGAAGTGATCTTTTTGTAGACGTTTGCCCTAATTCAACTGGGGGACGGATTTGATTATAGAAACACAACTCTAACTAAGATTTTTAGGGAACAAGGAAAGTATCGTCTAACATCTGCAGCATCCATCGCCAATGGAAAGACAGAAAACGTAAATTTGTAAACCAATTCCTAAAACGTTCCTCTCATTTAGCAACCAAGCGTTGAAATTGAAATCAGAATTAACATGTTCTCTGAACTGCACAATTGAACATATTCTTTAGATGTAAACCAATGTTGATTAGCCTCCTTGACTAAAAAACACAAAAACCATTTTTTACACGCACACTAACTGTTTGCGTTAGATAATTTTGAAACTTGGATTGGTTGGGGGCAATCCCAAATGGGAAATATACCCCTCCAAAAATAGGCGGCACACAGTATTCTTTAGCCCTTGTTTAAGCTCCATTCTTGCCCTAAAAAAAAAACGAATTCTGGAATTTTCAATTACTTCGACAAGTTTGAGTTAGATGATCAAGAAATATCTAAATGACATTTTTCCTCCATATTAATGAGAAAATATATCCATTCGAATGATCAGTTCAAAGATAAGCATGCTTATAAAGCTAAAACATAAACCAATATCAAGCATGAAGTTCCCACATATGAACAAAGCAGAGTTACCATTCCATAAATTGTAATAAAGAACTTACCACGTCCCCCGCAGTAGAAGCATGTCCATATTCATAAACAGCCACAACAGAACTCCAAGCTGTCAATATTTTATCACCAAACAATTCGAGACGACCTTTTAGTTGAAGAACTGTTGGCTAGTGCATAAAGATCTGCTCAGCAGCATGAATAAACTCACCAACTTCCAAGAATCCAGAAAGAATTCTAGGCAGGACTAGGAAGGTTTCAATTATGAGGCCTAAGCAAAGCAAATATGATTTACAACACATGCACCAATCATAATCCAAAAGAGAACTGCCCTTCGTTTTTTCACCATTGAAGTTTTCTTTGGGTAGTTGCACACACAACATATAAGATCATGAAGAACATTCACTTTTTATGCAAGCCTAAAGGAGACTTCCCTCGTAAATTTCTCTGTTCGATGTCACAGATCATTATGCAATTGAATCAACAGTCAACTTTCACTTATAAACTAATCCAAGAACTAATCCAAGGATGGCTGCATAAAAGTAAGCCCAAGTTCCCCACAAATTCCCTCAAAACTACAACCTTTGCATTGTAATTAGCAAGGTTACATAGCTCTAAGACAAATAGAGTATCCCTTACAAGAAATTATGATTTACAAGAAATTATGATTCTGGTCATAAATTCAAATAACCATAATTAAGGTTCTTCTGCCACATTACCAATAAAATGTTTTTATCCCACCCACTGAAAGCAAGAGATCAATTCTAAAAAAATATTTGGACATAATGAACAACCATATTGCTCTAGGCAAAGCTCAACATCAACACCTGTATCCCAAACCAAATGTCTAGTGACCAAAACATTCCATCCAAACTACAAGCCAAAAGTCACAATCATTTGATACGATGAAGAGGGCATGTGAAGCTTTTGAAAACTGCATGATTAAAGAAAGAAAAATGAAAATAGAAAATTTTGAAATATTTAACACATTATCATAAATGCAAAAGAAACTAACAAGATGGTCTACATTTAACCAAACCGAAATCCGGGTTTTACATGGACCAAACATCGCATAAACAAAACAATTGATCCAAGGCCTTAGTAATAAATATTCATCAACCAAGCCGCACTAATACATGACAAAACCCTAGAATTCTTGTGAAGCTGACCCGATTTCCTTGTCCCTTCCTCCAGCCTTTTTTGGCAACAGGTTCTGATGAATGTTGGGCAAAACACCACCATTCGCAATTGTAACACTTCCCAACAGCTTGCTCAACTCCTCATCATTCCTGACTGCCAATTGTATGTGCCTAGGTACAATCCTGTTCTTCTTGTTGTCCCTTGCAGCATTTCCCGCAAGCTCCAAAACCTAAATAAAAATAAAAATAAAAAAATCGCAATCCCGAAATTTAATACTTAAACCCTAAAATCCGAAATCCAACAAATTAAATTAATCAAAATGGCAATCAGTTAAATACGAAAACTCGCCTCAGCCGCAAGGTATTCGAGGACAGCGGCGAGGTAGACCGGGGCACCAGCCCCAACACGCTCGGCGTACTTTCCGGCTTTGAGGAACCGAGCGATTCTACCAACAGGGAACTGGAGACCGGCCTTACTGGAGCGAGAGACGGATTTCGACGACTTGGGTTTGCCCCTACCGCCCTTGGTTGAAGCATTGGAACTCATTTTTATTTTTATTTTTGTTTTCACTTTTTGAGATTTCGAGATTGGAAAAAAGGATATAAAACCCTAGATGATAGAAGTAATTGGATTTCGGTGGAGAAAGGCTTTTTATATAGGAAATATGGAAAATAATGGCGGACTTTGATTGGTGGATGGGGGTGATTGCGGATTGCCAGCCTGGTGCGGAATCAAATGGCGCGAAAAGGAAAATCAGGTTTTAATTTTACATTTTAGACATTAAACTTAAATTTATTTCAGACTTACCATTAAACTTTACAAAATATTTCATTCAGTCCACTGATTCAGTTTGACAATTATTTTCAATATCTTCAAAATCAAACAGGATTGATCTTTCAACCAAAAAATCGAGGAATCGATTGGATTTACCTTAATAAAACCTTTAACTAAAACTCTGCTAAGTCATTAAACCTTTGAGATTTTCATTTAAATCCTATAACTTGATACATTGACATGTAGAGCATTCAGTTAAAAACTGGATGCCAAACTAATCTCATATTTATAAACACTCGAACCAACTTTTATATACAGATTTCGAAAGACTCGTAACAATAATCATGTATTCACTATCCATTTCTTTATATGTTATAGTTTAAACTGCTTATAAACGCTTAAATAAAATATTTTAGAAAGTTCAGTGATTATTTGAAAGAAAATAAAATTCATATGCTAAGACAACATTAAATGCAAAGTGTAGTGACTACCCATTGAGAAAAAAATTGATCGTCTAATCCATATAATAGTAGTATCCATTATCAGTGTAGAGTTGGATTCCTCGTAAATTGGTTTATGTTTATATTTGGATTCGTTTGATTGTAAACATGAAATTTGGTTGGAAAAAAACGAATTCTAGGTAATTAAATTGCCTAAAAATTGTTTTACTGAAAATTGTCAATTATTGTGTTTGATTGGTATAATTTTTCACGTAAAAAATTATAAAATAAAAGTGTTTTTTATATTCGTTTGGTTTTGTTTTACATAAAAATTGTTAATTAAAGGGATAGAATTTATTGGTATTGGAATGAAATTTATTTCCATTGCAAAAAAAAAAATCAAAAAAATCATCCATCTTTTGGTATTCATTTGACTTTATCTTACATGAAAATTGTCAATCCAATGAAATTTTTTTTTTTCAATTAGGAATATAATTTGTTTCCATTGTCAAAAAAAAAAAGAGCGGCCATCAGCCTAGAAAATGAATTCTCACCAATTTGGTGAGAATTCATTTTCCTCAATTTGGTGGAAAATGGCTTAGATGGCATCAAAGTTGGAAAATGAATTCCCTAGAATAAAAAATCTATCAAACATCCATTTTTGATTTAGGATGGAAATCAAATTTCATGGAATTCATGCCTATCAAACAAGACCTCAGTTCTTTACATTTTCCTTCCGTAGAGCAAAAGATTTTATGCATTCAAAAATAAGTGAGTAGAGATGTATTTGACGTCATTTTGGGCTTAGTTGCATAATTTGTATTTTACATTTCCATACACAAAATGAATTATTATCTTTGTCTAAAATTATTTTATCTTTAATATATCACCATGTGTTAAGTGGACTAACCGAACTTGACAATAAATGAGTCGCTTTGCTCGCTATTGTTGATATTTGTTTGACCAACAAGTCTACCATTTGATCGCCCAAGAAATTCGGATTCTGCTTGCGAGCCACTCATGACTAACCTCTTGTTTGTTAAAAGTAAAAAATTACACGTTTTAGCTAAAATGCGAACAGCAAGCCAACTCATGCAAACATTCACTGCTTGATTCGGTAGACTTTAGACCTCTACCATGTGTTGTCGCAAATGAATGTTTCTTCTAATATTGAAAAAATAATGATAATAATTGGAACATGATGTGTGACGGAATATTGTTTAAAGGTAGAACCTCAACCTTAAGAGTCTCCACTACCTCACCCCTAGAGCATCGTGAAAGAGATTAATCACAAGATATGACCAAACAGATCAAAAAAACAAAAATTGTCTGTACACTAATACTCACAAAAAGTCACAATCCATGATTCAAAAATCGAACCTTCACACTGCAGTCCTTTTAAAAGAATAATGGTAAAATTAAGCTATAAAAATCTCATTGAATGGCATTCATGCTTGATTTTAACTAACAATTTTCCCTTATGTGATGGTAACTTTCATTACCATTCTAACCTCAAGGACCTCATTTTAACTTGTCCCGTTGAACATAGAATTTTTAATTGAATAGTACAATGGCATCAATAGTTATTTTCAAGTTTGGCATTTGAAATTAAAAAAAAAAAAAAAAAAAAAAAAAAAAAAAAAAAATAAACCCATAACCTAACAACATTGCAAAACAAATATCATTATAATAATCAAGTTACGATCCTGGACAATTTCAAATGTGAAACCACATCATCTCACCCTCTACCCATAAGCCAATCTTCTGCATTCTTCGAAAACCTTTCAATCATCTAATACTGGAAGTTTCAATTCATTTGATTCTTTATAATAAAAGAATAATTTTGTAACCACACAATTAAAATATATAACATCCTCATAATAATAATTAATTTGATCCCAATATTATGCCATTGTTTAGGCTTTAAGAAAAATGAATTCCAGAAATCAAGAATGCTTCATTTCATTAACTACCACATGAACGTCACTACAGATAGGGCCAAAACTATACATCTGAAAGACAAAATAATTCGACCAGTTTGAACCCAATTACACTATTTAGCATTCAAAAATAAAGCCCTAAAATTCTTGTGAAGCAGACCCAATTTCACCCTTCCCACCAGTCTTCTTCGGCAGAAGTGTTTGATGAATATTGGGCAGAACACCGCCATTCGCAATTGTCACCGAACCCAACAACTTGCTCAACTCCTCATCATTCCTCACAGCCAACTGAATGTGCCTTGGAATAATCCGATTCTTCTTGTTGTCTCTTGCAGCATTCCCAGCAAGCTCCAATAACTGAAAATCAAAGACCCGAATTACAAAATCAACCATAGATATAATTTTACACATAACCCAACAAAAATTAAAAACAAATATTCGAACCTCAGCAGCGAGGTATTCAAGAACAGCAGAGAGGTAAACAGGTGAACCGGATCCGACCCGTTCTGCGTAACGACCCTTTTTTAGGAAACGAGCGACACGGCCAACAGGGAATTGGAGACCGGCCTTGGAAGATTTTGATACGGCCTTTGATCGGGGCTTCCCACGGCCACCGATTGATTTTGTTGCAGTAGAATTGCCACCCATAGTGATGTAGAGGAGCGACCTTTTGTTGGAATTGGTAACGTTCTTGATTTTGAATTGAACGAATCTTGAAAGAGAAGGGAACTCTGGCGGTTTAGAAGAGAGAGTCAATTTATATATAGAAATTCGGTGGAAGAATTCTCGCTTCTGATTGGTGAATATATGCTTCACGCGGATTGCGGTTTTGCGTTTTCTTATTGGCCAAATGAGTCTCCATTTCTATTGGTCAGATTAGAACGAAATGGATTGCCAGCTTGGCAATGAAATCATCATTTCCCACTTAGCTTTGTTTAAGCACGAATTTTAAAATTTTCCGATATTTTCTTTATTTTTCATATTTTTGTCGAATTTATGCCCCTAGTTAATTTTCATTCAATTACATTTTATTTTTCTCTCCTAATCATACAATTTTTCATAAAATAATATTACACATAAATCGAAAACTTTTACTTCTTTTTCAACCACTCATTTTTCAAAAAAATATTATTTCACTCATTAATTTTTCCACGTAATGGAAGCCAAACAGGGACTATTATAGCTAAGCCCTTGTTTGAGCCCCATTTTAAGTGAAATAATGTATTTTTAATAGTGATTAATGAAGAATGTACGATTAAAAATTTTGAAAAAATTTGAGTTTGCGTATAATATTAATTTATTGAAAAATATATAGTTGAAAATGAATTTTGAACAAATAAATTTTTGGAAGAATAGGGCTCAACAATGGCAAAAAATTTATTTAAATTAATTATTTAGAGGTTGTTTGAACCCAATTTTTTTCACAAAAATACATTTTGAAATAGTATTATGATGGATAATGTGTAATTAAAAAATAAAGAAAAATTTTGGATTTACGTGTAATATTATTTTATTAAAAAATGTGATTAAAATGAAATCAAATCACTGTTGAAAAACATATTTTGATGAAAATTGGGGCTCCAACAAAGACTAAAATGTATTTTTTAAAAGAATATTGATAGAAAATAAATGGTTAAAAATAAAGAAAGTTCATGAATTTGCGTGTAATAATATGTTATTGAAGAAATTGTAGTTGAAGTAAAATCTAATCACTGTTAAAGAATGTATTTTGATGAAAAAAAAAATGAGGCTCAGACAAGAGCTTGGCCAATGTTTGATTGATCTAAAAACTAAAATTTTAGTAAATTTAAATAAAAGTTAATAAATTTTGTGATCATATGAGATATGAAGTTGAAAATAAGTTTGGAAAAAGCAAAATATAGGACCAAATAAGGGCTTAAAAGTGAAAGTTTTAAGCTTAGTTATTTCTAATGTTACATCTTATAGGACAAATTTGACACGTCAATACTTTTTATTTTTCCAATTCCATTTAAATTTCTACTTTTTGCTGTTTCATTGGTATTTTTTCATGAAAAATATTTTATTATTTTTTGTCACATGATCATATTTTTCTCAAAATCAAGAAAAATATTTTTTTTTTTAGGGAGAGTGAGATTTTATTTTCCAAAGAATTTCCTCCCTGTCTTTTTCTCTAATCTATCCACTGTAATAACTTTATATGTTGACAAGTCAAACTAAACTAAGAAAAAAAAGGATAAAACCAAAGGTCAGCGGTAGAAATCATTTAATTCAATCCTAATCTATATCAATCCATTTCTACACACACAAATACACATATTACCACAGAAAAGATAGAACGATATAGAAAGAAAAAAAATAGGAAAGTTGGCCAACACTATTAAAAATTAAGTGCTTCCAACTATTAAATTTGAATTTTTCAATTTCAAAGTTACTTATTGTCAAATTATATTTATTTTTATAATTGTTAGATAATTCAATTTTATTGAAGAGGTTAAATATAATAAGTGATGAAATTGAGTTAAATAAAAGAAAAATTAGTTTTAGTGATTAAAGAGATTTTAGAAATCGCTTAAACGTGAAATGATTAAATTTGAGTATCGCCTATTCAATTATTGAAATTACTTAAAATAGCTAATTGTTGATTTAAAATTTATATCATACTTCAGGCGGCGATACAAATATCAGGACAGTTTATCAACCGAGTTGATTTTAGCGTATATAGTTCTGTGAGTGGAAAAATATAAATATTTTTAAAGTATTTATAAATTAAGTATATTATCAAAATATACGCAATTATGTATAATTATGTATTCGATTATATGATTATTATGTAAATCTCTTTTATTATGATACACGTGGAATCTCAAAGACTATTTATGACACATTTGTAATTTGGTATGTAAGACATGTGATATTGAGATTTGTTTGGTATGTGAGACATGTAATATTGAGATCGGCAAAAAAAACATCTATGATTATATACTTCTTCCAGTTCATAGAGGGGCCTTGGCCGTATTCTATCTTACACGAAAAGGTCTTGACCTGACATTGGTTCGTGCACATATAGTTTACAGATGGGCCTTGGTCATATTTCTAGAATTGATTACTAAAGGTTTTGAGATTGGTTTTCGTTCACGGAGGGGGACAAGGGCCCATGACAAAAGTTCTTAACCCGAGCGACGGATTACATATTTCAGTCAGAGAATACATTTTTTGGTGAATTTTTCGAGTACATTTGATGTGATGAAATTACAGTATAATTACCAGCTTATATTTATAACATGATTTGAGATGATATTTTATGAAGTTATGTGGATGTCTCGCATTTTGGCTATAATTATATGATATTATCTTGTAAATTATTCAATGATAAGAATTCAATTTTCGATAAAAATGTAAAATGGAAAAGTATATTTATTTTCGAACTTCTCCACTCATTGAGTTATCAACTCATATATTTTTCCACATTTTTTTATAGGCAGCAGTTGAGTTTTTGGGCATTTTTGGGGGTTGAGCCTTGATTTTGGAGTTAGAACCACACGACAAAGTTTGTTAGTATGACTCATTTCATAGAGCTTGTAGTTAGTATTTTGGAACGCATGTTCATATCTAAATGTGATTTTGCATCACTTGTAAATGGTTAGGGGCTCATTATATATTTTGTATCTATATGTATAATTCATGTTATTTCTTAGTAAAAGTTGAGATTTTAGTTTATCTCTATTGTGTTATGTTATAGTTTGGAATTTGTGTGTAATTGATCACAAGTTAATTAGTGTTGTTTATAGGGGAGATGATACTGAAATTTCATAAAAAAATATGTATAAAAGTGGTATATTGTACTTGTGGTAGTTTCGATGGTGGGTCCGACTTTTAGTTGATACCTATCATCGAAGCATGCCACGTCCAAGTCTAATAGTGTTACACGGGGCTGGTTTGTCATCTACTCTCTCGTCTACCGACCAATAAAAAATAGAAAATTATAATATTTTTTAAATTGAAAATTAAATCAATCAAACACATTTATGACAATTTCCATATAAATAAGTTTTATGCAATTGTATTGCCTAGAATTTTTTTTTTCATACAAATTTCATACTTACAATCAAATGCACCCTAAGTGTAAATAGGGATAGCAAATGATAGAAACTAAGTCGACTCGATAAGTGTAATTACAAGTTTAGCTTGATTCTAAGCTCATGAGTTTTATATGGCAATCCATATCGAGTCGAGCCAACCCACGAGAACACGTTATTTTTTTAAAATACTTTTAAAAAATCCTCATCTTTTATTGGGCTTTGAATTGGTTACTTTTAGTATAAATGAAGTTAAAATCATATACGAATAACTTGTTACATATGTAATATTTTTAAATGTGAATAATAATAATAATAATGACAAATTATTTGTGAAATGTTCCCTCACTGCAACTTGTTTTTAGAGGGAATGTACGAAATAATTATTGACTGATCAGAGAAGATTATCGATCTTGTTATCGATTACTTGATGCTGAGCATCCAAAAACGTGAAAATCACATATAGTTTATTGGCAGCATTTAGAGCATCTCCAGTATGCCCTTTAAAATTGAAATGCTCACTATTTTAAATAGCAATCCTTAAAATTATTTTTCAAAAGACTCTTCAAATTATTTTAAATTATAGTTGGTTTGGTTAAAAACATTTGTATAATTAAATGCATTCAAAAAATTTGGCCTAATTTTCAATGCTTCATATATTGACCCGACTAAGGCCCCATTTGATTCTTTTTTTTTTCAAAATGTATTTTTCTCTCTCTTATTTTCAACCACATATTCTTCATTAAAATAATATTACGCGCAAATCAAAAAATTTTCATCCACACAATTCTCATCAATCTGCTATTCCAAAATTCATTTTTCCTTAACAATGAGTGTCAAACATCCTCTTAATGTACACAAAGAAATCGAGAAACATAATATAATAATTTGAAGGAAATTTGTGAAAAAAAAAATTGTGTAATGCTATATACCACAACTAATGTTTAACACCAGTTTAGGTGACAACACGAGTAACATTAAATTACATGTTTAATTAAATACAAGGAATTATGGTTTATTTAATAGGATATATAAAATACGGGCACTTAAACTGTTGTTCAACATTGCTGATGCTAGATATTATTATAAGATATAAAGAAAATAATAATACATATATGAAGTAATAAAATAAGGGTTAAAGGTAAAGAAGTAGTTTGAGTACATTCATAGATACTCTCTAATTTGCAATATATAGTCTCTTTGAGAAGTTTTTAGTATTATCGTGACTATTTTCTTGATGTTGGAAATTGGACTGTTGTGCTCTAATGCCAATGGTGTGATTTTGTACTAGGCCCATAGATTCTTATTCAGGGCCCGTTTGGTAGGAATTTTGAGAATTGATTTTTTGATCGTTAGAAGAAAAGTGGGGTCCACATGTGAGAGAAGAAGTCAAAAATTACGGCTTGAATAGTAAAATAACAGTCAAAAAATTAATTTTTTGGGACAAAAAATTCCTACCAAACGGAGCCTTAATAGGATGGGCCTATAGTGCTAAGGGTAGAGTTTTGAATTCAAGGGTTTTGTTATTCGTCCATGACTCATGTCACCCTGTCACTCCAGCAAAACCCTTGGCCAATAATAGTAAAACCATCAATTCAATTCAAGTACATTATTTTATAAAATTAATTATTATCTAGTTTCATATATATTAAAAATATTGTATTATGATATAAATTTTCAATTTCTGAAATGTAGGG